CCGCCTGACCTTCACCATTGTAGTCAATGGCAGCCCTTTGATTGGCCGCTTCCCCCTTAATGAAAATATTATGTTCGCATATTCAATAAAAGTGTTAAGAGGTACTACTCACATTTGTGAGTAGTGTGCAAAATAGTTGATGATTTCCTCCGACGATCAAAATTAACAAGACTACCAAGGGCAAACTGCTATCTCAAACAGTAGCTACTAATTGCTACATTCATTACCCGGTGTGCTGCCAGGAACTGCGACTGTATGTTTCATATGAGATTTCTGTGTTATGTATGCCATATTAGTGATGTCCCAACTGTAATCTACGATAAATAACTTCCCTCGGCCGAGCACCGTCTTGTGGAATTATAACAAAAGGAAAAAAATGAAAAGGAACTGAAGTCGGCATAGTAAACTTCAGTGACAGAATGTGATGCATGGTGTGCAACAGTGTCTTATTGGCTGAGTCTGTGGACGAAAGAGAGCAGGACATCACACCGATCAAGCCTATATAGCGTTGCGACAGCCGTACTTCACACCACAGTGAGTCAGAAGCCGCAGTAGGATAATCGATTACCTCGAATTGTAGTGTGCTGTGAAAATAGAGTAGCACACAATTAACCCTTGTCGGATGGTCGCATCTGAGTAGCTTCATCCCCGGTTTGGCTTAAGTCTGAGTTCAGAATTTCGGTTGTCAGTCAAATTTCGATAATCGAAATAATGTCCCATTGACCACTTTGGCAACGCAGTTTCATGTTTGAAAATCTGCTGAGGATACCTTAGGAATCGATGTATAAACGATGCAGTCAATAGCGGAGCACAAACTAGTCGGAGTACGAAGGGTTAGTTGAGCCGACCGTATCATGGTCGCCTAGGGGAATTTCTTTTGGAAAACAGTTTGTTGAGTCTGGTCTAACGGTTGCGAGAAAAAACATAAAATCCGTGGGAATCCAGTGTGTCTGGAGGCGTTATTTTCTGCCAGAGAACCACTTTTAGTTCTGGGTTTTACATGGACCTCAAACGCAGTTCTGGTGGTACCTTGTTATCGTACCGTGAATGTAAGACAGCAGTGGCGTTCTCAGAGTTATTCTCAGGCCGTCCCTGCCGTAATTAGGAGAACATATGAGACGGCTAGGTGTTGCAGCCGAGACCTGTCAACATTCAAACAAATCTCGAATGAACCTCCATTCATTACTGTCATTTTGCTGTGTCTGGATCATTCCATCACGGGACTACATTTCAAAGAATCATTCGGTACTGTCTGTTTCCCGTACACTATCGGGGTTGGAAATAATGTGGAACGATCGTAGCTCGGGATCTGGTTGGTGGTGTCCTCTAAGCTGGAAGTGTTGTTCGCAGACGTTTCGTAGACAAGCTAGGTAACATCATCAGTACGACTTCGGGGAAGCAATAAATAATAAAGTTAGTGTCCGGTGCCTGTGATGAGAGCGCATATGATGCCGCAGCTCACTCGCATCGTATGTCACGCGATTGGTTGGCCTCGCTATCAACCTTAACAGTGCTGAAGGCATTAATGATTATTGATTTTTATTTCACATATTGCCCCTGAAAATCATGTTCATACAATTACGATCAGCCCGTTCCAGTTCAATGGATGGTGCTGGTCCTAACCAGGGGCTTACAGTCATAACAGTGACAATAATTTGTTTGTTTCAGAAGCTGTCCGGAGAATATTGTTCCGTTCTACCAGTGATATCCCAGGTTCGATTCTTAATTGTATTGATTGATTTGCACTAGTAAGCATAACCAAAAACGTTTTTGTATCGGTATACACTTTTGCATGGACAGATATACACATCTCAGTCAAAAATGACACAACATCTTATCGAAAGAAGGGAATAATACGGTAAATTTAACTCCAGTTTATATTTCCTTTCCTCACTGTGTACACAACAAAATTCATTTAATGTTATTCCACATCTATTCGTCTCTAACCCGCCCGGTTTACCGAACAGAAAGCAGGGGTTGTCACTTGATCGTCCACTTCAATGCCATTGTAACCCATAGCAGTTCAATCTCCGGCGACAACAACGCAGACTTGGTTGTTGCATTCGGACTAAGCCTAGTTGACGGGTGGTCCCAATAGAGATTTGCTTCGATGCTGGGTGAATGAAGCGCCGTTATTCAAACAAACATTTCAAATTTCGGACGTTTTGGAAATTTTTCAACGGGTGACTTGACTGTCGCTAACATGATCAACATTCGACAAGAACCAGTACAAATCTCAAGCATTACAACATACTAGCAAACAAAATATAAGCAAAGATAGATTATGAAATGACTAACAGCGATTTGGTAAAAAGCATTGTTCAGAAGATGTAGTGGAAATCTGTAAATAAGATCAATCAATCTTACAACTTACTCAAGGTCTTCCTCTTTTAAGGCGTTCTCGGGCAACCCCAATTGTTCGGATACCTGTTTCCATTTCTCTCGGACAGTATCCAACACCAGATCATCTTCGGATGAATCAATCTGTCGCAGTACTGAAGGGAGAATAACGTCAAGAAAAAATGCAAAAAACAGTATTGTACGGAACATATGGAATACGACTAGCAATGTGAAGAGAACTATCTATCTTGACCCCACTGATGAACTAAATCGCATGAAGAGGTCGCCGAGATATGCAATGAACGGACTGAAATGGCTACGAAACGGAAAACGATAACTATTCGCAGGCAAGAAGAGAAAACAGCTCAGAGGACGAAATAAACCTAATGAAAAAGGCGAGCGGATTCAGTGGAACCCCAAAACATTTTGGTGGGGTAAGACAGGAGGATAGTGTAGAGAGTGCGTCTTTCAGGGTCTTCCATGAAGACAGATAAACTTGGCAAAATCGTTGGAATCCGAATGGCAAGCACCGCCAGTGATTGGGTTTCGACCAACTTTGTGCACTCAAGCGAGGAAATTACACAATGAAGTGTGTGACAAGACAAATTACTGATCAAAAGGTGTCGGGAAAAGATGCCAGCA